GGGATTCCCCCCCCCCCATTACCCGCCGCCGCCGCCGCCTCCAACTCTTCCAGTCCACCCACTCACTGCTGTCGTGGCACCCATCGACGCCCACGCGATTACTCGCAGCTCTTTTACGCACACTAATACTGGACAAGCACACCACGCAGGACCTACATATCTGGGTCACTCGGCGCACCGTCCTTGCTTTGACGCACCTCTGCCTTCCAACGTACAGATCGAAGACGATGAAGGCAACAAGTCACGGTACCGAACAACACAGAACTTGAACAACACGAACGGCCACAAACGCAACATCCGCCACTTTGTGCCGCCCCCCGCCTGTCCATCGCATCCTGTCACATTCCTACGTCCAACGCAACGCAGAGACTACACCGAGTCGCCCACTGCTTCGCGCAACCGTCTCCCTTTTTGACCGACTCTATTGCCCCACGCCATCCTGAGGGCCCTCATTTCTATTCCTGTGGCTGCCAGTTTTCCTCCGTCGCACATTCCATAATCGACCTCAGCACCTGCTCGAGAACTCCACCAACAGTGGACCGACCTTTCAGTCAGAGACACAGAAGCGCTAGCTTGTCCGCCACAGTTCAATCTCACTGTTTCCCACCCCCGCGGATCCGAATCTGGGCCTGGACCTGGATTTAGACCTAGGTCTTGACGCCGCGTCTCTTTCTGACAGCCGCTACGCGACCCAACCTTTCGGTTCCTCTCCCTTCCCCCCCCTCTCCCTCCCTCGGCACACCATACATCATCTCCTGCCTGTCAGTGCATCGCAACGCGATACAACGCACCGCACGTCTAACTCTATCGACAAAGCGGCAGTCGCATAACACAACATCCTCCACGCACGGTTTCTTTAGTGCAGGGTTCAACAACGTGCCCTCACGGCAATCCGCTGCAGCCAGGTCATCCACTCAATGCACTAGAAGACCCCACGTCAACGGCAACCGACCTCGTGACGACTTGCGACAAGCAACGACCACGCATCCAGGGCCGAGACCTGTCTACCCTCGACTAGAACTCACCGTCTTGACCACTCCTCACACCGCCGCTGTTGTCGCCAATTTGCCCAGCGCACAAGCACTTCCTAATCACTTAATCACTTGACATCTCTCAATCTCTACCCATGGACGCCGACACCGATGCGATGCCCTTGAATCTGGATTCTCTCGCCTCTCGCTGTTGAGCATGGGTTCAGTATCACATCTTTGAAAAGATATACGGTCTGATATAAACCCCCGTTCACCTTCCCCCTTGTGGCCGACCATCTCGCCGCCATGTTGGGGAAACTATTCAACTTGGGGACCGGCAATGGCGCCAGTAGTGGCGGGCCGCCTCAGTCCAATTACACTAAGCCCCCTCAGTCGTCTCTAGAATCTGTGCAAGAGGATATTCACACCCGTCATCTCCTGTTTCCCGACGCCGATGCCCTGTTTCAGCACCAAATCGATCAGGTCTTTCCACTCTCCACGGCCCTACCATCAACAACCCCAGGCAGCCCGTTTGATTATGAAGCAGACATTGAGCTCGACGCACGACATATTAGGGTCCTCATCATGCAGGATGCTGCCGGTCCTTATCCGTTCCAGCTCCTGTTCGACAGCCAGGGGCCGCCCCCGCCAGCTCCCGTTGCTCCAGATCGATCACCAGGAGGGTTCCCGTCCTTCCAGGACCCTCGGAGGACGCCCGGAACGCCGCGGAAAAGCAGCCTGAACCACGGGTCTAGGCCCCTTGTCATTCAACCGGACAGTCCACAGCCACGTCAGGGCGCCTTTGACCGTCGTGGCTCTCTGCAAGGCCGCACACAAACAACGGCTGAAACAGAGTTACAGCGCGCGCGCCGCGAGTACAACGACGAGATCAGCGCATTTTCCAGTTGCACATTTGGCAATTCCGAGTTGATGGCTTACAAGGGCACCTCAACTAAAGTGCACATTGTTCCCAGCTCTAGTGACAGTCGCACGGAGTATGCCGGGTCTTTGCTGGGCGATGGGCGTGGGTCCATTGGAAGATCCAGCATGCGTTCAAGCCGGCTCGCGCAGTCATACACGTCTGAAACTGTTTCGTCAGCACACCCTTCGGCATCCTTTGCAACGACCTCGACGCCAAGGCACTCTGACAGGAGAAAGATCCTCATCACAAGATTATTTCCCGTCATCATGCCCACCGACGATTCTGAAAACGACACCTCCATGAGCCGATATTCCGATCAAAATGCCGGGTTTTCCCTTTTCCGCCACCAAAATAGCCGGTTCCCAAGAAGAAGCA